ATATATATATATATATATATATATATATATATATATGTGCTGATCTGCAAATATGGGGTCTGATCTGCAGCATGGGTAGACTTGTTCTGTGTTACTGCTGGGAGACAATTCACCATGGGTTTCTCATGTTTCTGTTCATGTTGCAAGCAAGGCCCTGACTGCTCTTTGTTCCAGACTTTCCAAGGCTATTTGTATAGCAAAGACAGACATGGTGCCTTCTTCCAGAACAAAGGGCAGACATGCTTACTGCTCATTAGAAATTATTCGAGTTGCCTAAATTCCTAAACTCAGAGTTCCTCTCTTGTATCACAACCCACTGTGTGTGCAGATGTCTTCTGGTCCTTTTCACATACTCTCATGGGAATTGGTGCTTAGGGACCAGGCTCAAAAATGTTCATACTCTGGCTCCTGCAAGTGCTCTGAGTAATCATCTGTCCTTTGTCTCTGACCCAGGGATCTCATGTTTTCGACCAGCATCCATTAAATGGGGGCAAACGGACTTGTTAGCTTTCAAGTAGGGAAAAAAATCTCAGGCTCTTCAGAGCTTTGACCCTCCCTCTCAGAGATTCTTACTCTGGGTCCATGGAGGAACTATAGGAGACCCTGAAAGGAGGCTGTAATTAAAGTCAACACAGAGAGTTCTTCTCTAGGGAGTAAGAAAAGAGAGAAGAAAAGAACAGGGCCTGATTGCTCTGGGGCTTGCCTTTCATTAACGATGTGGGCTCAGATATTTCAGCAGCATAAATTAAGAATGGTACAGGAGCAGACAGTCAAGACTACACAGACAGAGAATGAAGTAGAAGGTGGGCAATGAGGCTGCAGGGTTTTCTTTAATGCAAAACAAACAAACAAACAATAATTTTTGCATAAATATGCAACGAAAAGAAAATATTTAAAATTGATTCGCCTCTCATACTTTTCTATAACAAAAGGAAGCCAGTGCATTTAAATGAGTTTTTGTCACCTTAAGGCTTTATTGTTATTATTTTTTGTTCCTGGAATGAGCAATTATTGCAATTATTATTACCCATTTACCTACTTGCTTGGTGCTGACAGAAAGATTTATTTCAGCACAAAAGCCCTGCTGGGTCCTGGAGGGAGGGAGTATATCTTCTGCTCTTCCCCACCCCCCCTTTCTCTTCCGCTATGGAGCTCTCAACAGAGCCCAGAGGATGTGCTGAGAGGCGCTGGTGTGCCACTAAAAGAAGTTTGAAAGACAAATTCCACCCTGACACACGTTTGACATTTAATTTTTCCAATTTAAATGTAAACAGTTGCAGAGGATTTAATTTCCAATGCGTTCTTAATAGTATGGGAAAGAAAACTGTCCCCAAACTGTCGATGGCAGAACATTTTTGTATGATGTAATTTATAGCCCCTTGCATGAAGTAATTATGATTCCTGATAAAATGCTTGAGCAATTTCCAGATAGACTTTAATGGGATGAAGAAGTCTTGAGAAGTTAGGCTTCCTCACTCAGCTATCTTAAAATGCGTCAATCAGAATTTGGCCATTCTTTGGCGATGGCACCGTTTCTTTCTGGTTTACAGGTCTCTTCCAAGAGAGAATCCCTGATTTAAAGCCAGTTTGAAATAGAATTTTGACACATGTTTTTAACAAGCCTCTCTGAAAAGTTAACAATTGACATTTAAAAAGAGAAGCGCTTGGGTGGCTCAGTCGGTTAAGCATCCCTTCAGCTCAGGTCATGATCTCACAGTTCATGAGTTTGAGCCCCGCATCGGGCTCTATGTTGACAGCTCAGAGTCTGGAGCCTGCTTTGGATTCTGTGTCTCCCTCTCTCTCTCTGCCCCTCCCCTGCTCACACTCTGTCTCTGTCTCTCTCTCTCTCTCAAAAAAAAAAAAAAAATTAAAAAAAAATTTAAATAGATTTGTTACTTATAGACTTGGAATCTAAATACCATAATGATTTGATACCATAATGATTTGTAGCATCATCTACATGAAAAAAAAAAGACAACTTATTTTTTTAACACGTGGAAATTTTACATTGTTCCTCTTCTCTCCAAAATTCATCTTTCTACCCTCCGTTTTATCCTGCTGCGATACTTCGTAAAACTGAAAGTTTAAAATTAATTAAATTTCTACCACCAAAGTAAGTCTATGAATTTTTGTGACATAAGGCTTTACATTTTTGTTCCTGGCTCGAGTAATTATTACAATTGTTATTATTATTATTACCCAATTGTTAAAGATGTACAAATAGGTAATGCATTTTTATAATTATTAAATATAAAAAATGAATTTTATGGGCAACGCACCTCTTATTGAGATGAATGGGGCTGGATTATTCTCTTCCACTCTCCCCCTGCCAAGAAGGACATGTATTCAGAAACAGAAATTACCTATTACTAGAAAGAGCTAGACTCACCATCAAGTCTATTCTTGCTTTTTGTTTTTATGGACGTCAGCTCTGAGCAGTGTTGTTCACCTAACAACACCATTTGTGTGGTGTCTAAGCGGGGTGTTTCTCGATCAGATGGAGGGAGGCCCCCAAAAGTGGGGCGACGATGGTTGGGTAGAAGCCGGTGGCACAGGAGGTGAAAGAATTCACCTGAGGCAGAACCGAGGAGATAGAAGTTTCTTGAATACACTGCAAGGGAGCAGTGGGCAGGACCGCAGAGGAGAGGCTGTCTGCAAGGATGCAGCGGGTGGGGCTGTTTTTGAAGGGGGAAGATGAGGAGGTATGTCCACCTATGGACTCTTCCCTTTTTTGGTTAACCGTGTCCTGTTGTAAGTAGCACATCGGTCAGTTAGGGCCGATGCATATTTTGAGGTGAGTCACCTGATGGAGGGGGCTGTCTGTATTCAGCCGGGTGGGTGCTGTGGGTCCTTCTGCCTTTCATTGCTCAAGCCCGTCTGCCTAAAATAGGCCTCTACAATGTGTATACTGAACAACCTTGTCATCAGTAGGATACTGGCCTTATTTTTCTGGGGTTGTCCTTATGAATTGGTACAAAACCATTCCTACTCCACTTGGTTTTCTCCAGTGGGATGCATATTTCACAGTGGTCCAAACTCTGTCCTGTGAGCACAGACATGGAACAGAGGGATTCTTCGGGTAAGGATAAGGGACTTGTATTACCACTTAACCCAATTCAGGTTCACACTCCACTCTCCCCCACCCCCGCACCGTATTGTGCATAATATTTAGAAATAGATGTCCCTACCAACCCGAAGTTCTCATGAAGAATCCTGGGGGTTAAAACTGCAAGTTAGTTGTTTAGCCATTAGACATATCCAGGCTTGAAATATCTACCATTAATGATAAATGTCGAAAAGAGAGCTGGACTTTGAGGGGTTGTGATGTCTCTAGAACCTACGCCCGCCACAGAACTTAAAACTGTTTCTCTTTCATTGCAGAACGGCCTTCATGGAGGCATCACCTTGACCCACTAAAGGTTCCCGCTTGTTTCCATCCCATCCCCCTACAGTCCTGGCCATTCTGAAAACCTCCTGAACCTGTCTCGGGAAGGTTTTGCTCCTCTGAAAATTCGTCCTCCCTCCCCTCCTCGCAACAAATGTCCTTTGTCCTGTAATAATTAAAAAAAAAAAAAAAAATCCCTGGAAGATCCAAATTGAATAACAATACAGATCTGATTGGAACCTTCATAAGCCTGACAATGTAGAATTGTATTTCTTAAAAAGTGTGGAACCACATTTGTCTGAGCTGCAAAAGACACCACAGAATAAGATCAGAATAGAATTTCAACTGACTCCCTAATTTCCTTAGAATGGCTTATATTTCAAGCCCTTCCTGTTTTTTTTTTCTGATAGAGTGGGTGTACATTACTAACTATAAGTGATAAGAAAGTATAAAAACAGCCACTGCCCTAAAAGTACAATTGAAATTAGCATTGAAGTTCACATTTATAAATTAGTCATTTTAGCATACGTTTCATTATAACATAAACTACTTATTTACATTTCATCCTGATTATTTTACTCCTCTTGACTTAGAATCACTTCCTAATTTCCCATATTGGGCCAGGACTAGGTCCTTAGATGACAAACAATAAACGTTTACTAATGAAATAAAAGTCACATCTAAATGGAAGGTCAGATCTGAATATGCAGGGAGAAGTCAGCTGAGGCAGAGAATGTTGGGGTGTTTTTTTGTTTTTTGCAAGGCGCTTCCTTAATTTGCAATGTGACTTTACTTCAAATCTTAAACTTACAAGACTTTTCAGCCACTGCAACACCTGAGACGAACCGTGTGCTGTGCAGCACGTCAGTTGTCATTTGAGCCTTCAGAGTGCTCATGCAGCGAGAGCTCAGGAGGACCCAGGTGGTTCCTGGGTGCTCTTCACCTTGTGTGGGTTTTTTTTTAAATGTTTTTATTTATTTTTGAGAGAGAGAGAGAGAGAGACAGAGAGAGAGACAGAGAGAGAGACAGAGAGAGTGAGAGTGAAGGAAGTGCAGAGAGAGAGGGGGACACAGAATCTGAAGGCTCCAGGCTCTGAGCTGTCAGCACAGAGCCCGACGCGGGGCTCCAACTTGCGAACCATGAGATCATGACCTAAGCTGAAGTCGGATGCTCAACGAACTGAGCCACCCAGGTGCCCCCTGTGGTGTTTTTTTTTTTTTTTAATTTTTAGAGAAAGAGAGAGCACAGTGGGGGAGAGGAGCAGAGGGGCAGAGGAAGGGAGAGAGAGAGAGAAAGAATCTTCAGCAGGCTCCATGCTCTGCATGGAGTGCAAGGTAGGGCTCGATCCCCGACCCTGGGATCATGACCTGAGCCGAAATCAAGAGTCGGATGCTCAACAAACTAAGCCACACAAGCACCCCTGTCCTTGTGTGTTTTTTTTTTAGAGCCTTGGACCCCAATTCGGAAAATGTATGTGCTCTCTTTAACCCTGACCTTGGCCAACATATAGACCGGTAATTCAGGTGTGTATCCCTTCTCAACACAAGATAGGTGGGAACGGTTCTCTGTTGTCTGATCGCGAAATAATGGAGGCATTGAAGGAAAGAAGAAAAAATGACAAGTTGAGGCTTTTATATACGTCCATTGCTTCTAACATGTTTTTAAGAACAAGAAAAATGCAACAACTACTCTTAGAGCAAGTGAAGCCACGATACTATACGGTTTTGGGGGCAGGTGGCCAGGCACATTTACCATTAAAACCAGATACCAAAACCCCACAGCAAAAGAAAACCAGCCAGAAGTTAGCCCCCAGGACCTTTTTTTTATATATATATATACATTTTTAGAATACTCTTCAAATCCTCTTTGAACAATAACAACAACAACAACAACAACAAAAGACAGTCTTTATATTAAAAATGTCCATGTTCTTCACTGTTAACTTCGAAAGCAGCTTGAAGGATTTCGCTACTTGGAGCATACTGCAAATTGACTCCACGAAAGTGATCTTGGTAGGATAGCAGCACAGGATTTGATATTCCATACTCATCGCTTTTGACAATGTAAACCTTTCCGAAAATAGTATTTCGCCTAAAAATTAGACTCATTCAAAGGTCTGATCATCCGGTTCCCTGAGGCCTGCCAGGGAGGTCTGGCTTCATACCATGGGTTTCCTGCTTTCTCAGGGTGGCGCACAGGCGTCACTGCATTTCAGGAAGAATCCGAAGGACGGCCATGGGACGGGCCCTGTGGAAGGAGGGCAGGAGCGCTCTGGATGGATCTGTGTCAAAACAGACCACGTAGAGCAACCCTCTAAAGATCAAACCATAGTGGCCAGCATGTAATCCCCTGGTCATTTCCCATCTGGATTTTCAACTGAATGAATCTCATGGGGTTAACCAAACATGGATGTCGTCCTAACTAATATGCGTTAGATTCTGATTTGCCCAGGAACTAAGAAACCTTCAAGGAACAAGGTCAAAGGGACAAGAGATACGTCCTTCACAATAATTCTGTTGACGTGGAAACGCACATAACTTGGTTGAAGCAATCTCCCTCAGTGGCCAGCACGCTCCAGGGGGTTTTCACGTCGCTGAGACCCGGGGATTCTCTCTCCTTGTCAGAAATGCTTTTAAAGAATTGAGACAAAAACTCCAAATGGAAAGATGGTAATTTTTGCTAAAAAATAGTGTAGAGGCCGTAACTAAATACAATTTTTAAAAAATGTTGAGATGCATGTTTTTCTTTAAAGCAGCTTTCAAAACATCAACCACAGCATTAAACATTGAACATAGTACATTCTGAAGTTAATACAGATAAATGGTATATAATGCAATAATGCCACATTTACTCCATAAATGTCTCAAAGCCCATTCTAAACTGGAAAAAATATTTTCTAGTTTATTAGCTGGAGATTTCACTTCTTTACTATGTCTCTAGAGTTTTCACCACTGACCTTTTTTTTTTTTTCTTTTTTTCTTTTTTAATGCCCCAGGAGGTACAGATAAATTCCCACATGCCACACCTGGAACTTTTTTTTTTTTTCTCCCTCTGTCAGGTTTCCAAAAAAAAACCCAAACTACAATGACAAGATAATGTTTTACATCGTAATCCCATAGACATAGGTCAGTTAATCCATGACACCTCGTTTCAACGCTTTCTTTAGGATTTACGACCTTCCCCAAAGTCATTTAAAGCCTTGCTTTCACCTGCGCAGCCAGCCCGCATGCGCGGCGGCCACACCGCACACGCGCTACACCTGTCTCCTTCCCCCGGTTTCCTTTTGGTGGCGGCATGGCCACCTCCCTCTGCCGGGAAAGGCGCAGTGCCTCTGTTTCCTCCCCTCCACGGTGATCAACGTCTTAAGAGCCTCGGCTTCCAGGTTGCACGCTCCACGAGGGAAAAGGGCCCGACTGGAGGGCCCAGGGCCACAGGCCCAGGCCGACTACTGTTCTTTCTTGACAGTGGGATTCTGAGCTCTGTCCGCTTCCAGACATTCGGAGACCACACTGCTCTGTTTAAAACCCTTGGAGCCGGCCAGCGAGTGCCCAGGCTCAGTTCCAGGACGAGGCCTCCGAGCTGGGGCGAGGCAGGGCTTCAGACTGTGGCCTCTTAGGGAAACGCAGGCACTTGTGGCGGCCTGATGCTTCTGGATAAGTCACCGAAACGTTCACTTCCTCGCATTCGGGAGGATTCGGTTTCATACACAGACAGAGCCAGTATTGGTGGGGTGGGGGGCGGGGGGAGTGTATCCAAAAATGTATGAATATGCACATCAGGGCTTAAGGTACTGGATGCTATTGGATAAATTGCTAAAATGCTTCTCGGCACAATTGGTAGCTTAAAAAAATACTTTCCTATGGTTTAACGGCATTTTCCCCATCACTGTTCTTCGCTGTGGAAATCTTGGTGGGTACCAAGTCCATCTGAAGTTCCCCAGTGTTTTCTCCCCACTGGGTCTGTACCATGTGAACCATACGCAAAGCGTGTTGTTCTTCGGGCCAGGAAGAATGGACTTCGCCGAGCGCCTTCCCTCTCTTAATATCGCAGCCCCCAGGGCAAAGAAATGCAAGGAAAATGAACACCTTCTTCCTAACTTCCAACAGCCGGCTTCTGGAACAGTCAAGTCCTTTGTCAGTTCGTTTGCTCTTCAGATGGTGAGTCAGTCCAGCCAACAACATGGAAAACAAATCCGTGTTTATAGGCACAGGAGAGCCAGGTGGTGCTGCCCAGGTGGGGCTTGGCAATTGGCGGTAGGGTTTCCAAAGACAGGAGGTTCAATGGGACTGTCTTAAATAAATAAATCTTTTTTTTTTTTTTTCTTGAGAATGTAAAAAATAAATGGTATTTCCCTTTGGCAGTAAATAGCTGATTCGACGCTGAGCCCGAAAGCTGTTTTTGTTTTGTTTCAGGTTTTGTTTTTAAGAGACCACGGCTTCGTTTCATGGGACATCACTGGTGATGCATATACTTCTACTGCTTTAGTGAACCTTTTGCATATTTGTTTGTGGCAGGCCTTCTGACTTCACTTGTGGCCCAGATAGGCACCCAGGGTGATGCAAGCCCCCACCAGGGCCAGACTGAGCAGGGCCTTCAGGGACAGCCAGGAGAAATCAAACAGAGGCTGCATGCTGGGGCCGTACAGTTCCACAAAGGCATCCTGCGGGGAAGAGAAGGGGAGACAAAAGAAACAGAATTAGAGAGAGAGAGAGAGAGAGAGAGAGAGAGCGAGCGAGCACAGGGTGCCGGCCTACAGGGAGAGTGGCATCCAGCCAGAGGACGGGGGCACCTTCAGAAGGGCGTAGGGAAAAGTAAAACGCTCTTTCGGGGCGGTGATTGAGACCCACTCTTTTTACTTCCATTCGAGACGCTGTCGTTGAGATCCTGTTGACGGGCCAGGTACCACAGAGACATAGCAGTGAGTGGTGTAGACTGAAGGTTCCTACTTCACCAAGCTCTTATCTAGTGGCGGGCCACAGACAGTAAACAAAATAAATGCATCCTAGAGTGTACTCGAGATTCCTAAGTGCTAAGGAGAAAAATAAAACGGCAAAGGCTGTTAGCAAATATCGGAGGCTTTGCAATTTTAGCTAGCATGGCCAATCCTAAAAATAATGAGAAACACTGAGTATGAGTCTGTTCCTTTCTTGAAGGCTTGCTGTATGCTAGGCACTTGTAATAAATGTCTCAAATGCATCATTTGATTTATCCTTCATACCAATATTATGGAGTCATTTTACTTCTGAAGAGGGGGAAAAAGCTGGGGGAGGGGGGAGGAAACACAGAGGCTAAGGGATTTGTCTAATCAATGGCAGCGACTGGATTCGAACCCAGAGGCGCACCGGTGCTCTTCGGTCTGCTGATGTCCTCTTACGGCTCACAGCAGCTCTGTCCGGATGCTGGTGCGGTGGACACACACAGGGTGGCCTCCCTTGGTGGCATGCCTAGGCTCCAAAGTAACAGAGTTCTCCCTGGGTAAAAAAGTTGTCACGGGGTTTCTTCCGGGAGAGGCCGGGCTGGATGACCACCACCCTGCATTTAACTCGAGTTGTGCACGTTGCAAAGCACGTGGTCACTTCTGGTCAGTTCGTTACGCGTCACTGCAGACCCAGGTCCCTGAGAAAAGAGGACGACTCCTATCCTCCCTTCCTATTGCTGCATCTAAGTCGGGTCTGCAGTACGTCATAACGACATTCTCTGGATTGTTTCACACTGGATCAACCACTCGATGCTCATTTCTTAGATTTGTCGGGGGACATTTGTTGGACCCAACGATTATCTGGACAACTCTCTTAATATATCTGAATACATAAAACGGTAAGAGAAATTCTTTTTGCTTGGTGTGATTTATTCAGACATGAAGACAACAAGACACAGCTCCACATTACTCCCAATAACGTGGCATCACAGCACACGATTTCATCACATGAGACGGTAACATGCCAACGCTTCTGGCTTTGCCGGGTGGAGGTGCCTGTGACAATGTTCAGTGTTTCTATCTGTGAAGGGCAAGTACTGCACGGAGGAACCAGGTACCAGCTTTGTCTCTCCAGTGCCGTTCATGGTTTTGATACATGCAGGTGTTTATGAGTATTTGTTCAACTAGCACTTAAAGTTTTCTGAATTCAATCACCGGCTCGAGTTTGGTCTCTGGCCCAGTGCTTCACCAGATGCTTCCCCTGCCTACTTGAAATTACTCCCTCTGTTCGTAACAACCTTTGGGAATCTTAGGAGTAGTCCTGAAGGTGAGAGTTTAAGGCATCATTGGGGGGAACTTCCCATGTTATTAAATATAGATTTCCATGGTTATTCTTCATGACTGTATAGTATTCCTTTGCATATATGCTGCACTTGATTTAACCGGTTATCTATTTGAAACTTTTGCGGTCGTAAACGATATTATGATACATTTTTGTACATAAATTCCTGTCTACTTGTTCAGTTGCTTTTGGGGGACAGATTCCTAGAAGTGAACCCAGTTGATCCGTCATCAAAATCGCCCCCCACAGGCACAAAGGGTTTGTGATGAGGCACTCCCACTCCCTCCCTGGTTGCCCTGTGATCGGCAACACCATTCACGGAAGTCAGAGAAGGGTTTAGGGCAGTGGTTCTCAAGTGGGTAATCTTGCTCCCCAGGGGACATTAGGCAATGTCTGGAGACATTTTTGGTAGGGGTGCTCCTGGCACCTAGTGGGGAGAAGCCAGGGACGCTGTTCGCCATCTTATAACGCACAGGACAGTCCCCACCATAAAGAATCATCCGCCCACTCTTCACATGGGTGAAAGGTTAGGAGAAACTCTGATCACGGACCACAGAAAACCTAATGGTCCATTTAGCGTGTCAACAGCTTGGGTCAGATTAACACAAGATGAGTTAGTTAGCCTTAGACAAGTGACTGGTCCCCAGCAAGTGGGTGCACTGTACTTTCAGATGCACTAGATTAACTGCTACCAGGAGAGGGCGCAAGGGTTTTCTTCTTTTCTGCTCTATTGTTGGCATTTTCTAAATTGGAGCCTTAGAAAAGCAAGGCAAGAGACATAAATGAAATACGTGTTTAGTGTTCTTAGCACAAAGCTGAAGTAATGATCACGAATGCTTGTCAAGGAACATACCTTCCCTGTATATAATCAGGGATAAATGGGGCAGGAAGGGGTCAGGACAGATTTATGGGCGGGAGAAACTCTGCTTCTTGTAAAGTGCCTCCCAGGATCCCACAGACACAGCTGGAAACACCTAACAGCCCACCCTTCCATGCTGCTCTCGCTGAGGGATGGGCAGGCTGGAACCTCCCAGATGACGCCTGGCAGCCTTCAGGGCCCGGCCCTGGGCTGTGTACAATGTGGCTTGACGTCGAGAGGGTCCATGGTTGGGTCCAGCCTTCCTCTAGTTACCAATGGGGTTTTCCTTGGCAGAATATGAAACGGGCTAAGCCCCTTGCTCTCTGCCCTTTCTGGCGGCAGAGCCATCCTGAGAATGTGGGGGAAGCGGAGACAAACTGGGGTTGGCATCTTCTCCCTGTTTGCCTGGTGCACGCTACTGATACCAGGGAGCAGAAGAAATGTCCCTCCAAATATCCCTACCTCTCTGGGGCTTAACGATTCCCTCTCCCGACCACCATCCCCTTGTGTAAATAACCGTGCTTCTAATGGACCTAATGGGCCATTTCTGATGTGCATTGTAAAGAAATGCATAATTTCTAGAGTGGGATGAGCCACAGTAGCATCTCTTGACCCAAAGAATAAACACTGAGTCGCTGACTCAGCCCCAGGTGACTGGGAATGGCTCTCAACGTGGGGGAGAAGGTCTGGGTGAAATCCCGTTCTTGACATTTTATTGCTTATGACCTTGAACAAATTATCCAGCCCCGGGCCTCATTTATTTCACCCGTAAAATTGGTTGTTGTGAAGATTAACACAGGCGACTCAAAGCCACTTGCAAACGTGGCCTCGAATGTGAACTTGTGGCCGTCTTAACTTGTTTGCTAGTCTGCCCTCTTGGAAACCTGCCCTGCCCTTCAGAGGGTCTACTGAGCCCGCCATTTCACAGGAGCAATCTACTAGCTCCCTCCAAGGAGTCAGCTTTTGGTTCCGGAGATGCTTGGTCATCTCTATAGAAGTAAGGAGTTAAAATGTACAAATAGGCACATGACGTGTTCCGGTCAAAGATGGGAGGTGATAATACGCTGGCCCTCTATACTTCCTCAGAAATTATTAGGTCAGGGTGTGGGGCTGGGGGGCATCATTTGACACCCTCCCCACCCCCCCACCCCACGACTGGATCCAGCCCCCAAGGTTTGCCCATCTCCGACTGCAAAGTGCAAAGCAGACCCATGCTTTCAGGACTGAAGGTCCTACAAGCTACTTTTATAGAAAGTCTTCTTGCTTTTTCAAACATCCTGATTAGGGCGACTTCCGAAGTCTGTTTGAACAGCCTGTCATTATTTGTTTAAGGTTGAAAGCTGTTTTAAATAAACACATGCTCATTTTATGTATTAAAAGCAACAAAGAGGGAAAAAGAAAACCTGAGGCATCGTCACGTGATGTGGACAAAGTCTCCGTCTGTGCACTTAGGGGTCACCGCAACAACTGTTGCTCAGGTCTGGACTGGGGCGGGGGGCACCGCCAGATTTCAGAGACGTGTGTGGCAGGTTCCGAGGTGAGTAGCCTTTCTCCTTCGGTTGACCCTCCCCTCAGAGAGGACACAAGCAGGGTCCCAGCTCTGGGTCCTCTTTAAATTTTTTTTTTTTTCAACGTTTATTTATTTTTGGGACAGAGAGAGACAGAGCATGAACAGGGGAGGGGCAGAGAGAGAGAGGGAGACACAGAATCGGAAACAGGCTCCAGGCTCCGAGCCATCAGCCCAGAGCCCGACGCAGGGCTCGAACTCACGGACCGCGAGATAGTGACCTGGCTGAAGTCGGAGGCTTAACCGACTGCGCCACCCAGGCGCCCCGTCTGGGTCCTCTTTTGTAGACCGCTTCTCCACCAGCTTCAAATTCAGAGGCCACAGATGGTCTGAGTCTGAGCTCCACCCAGAGCTGGCCCACCAGGGCGGAAGGCCAGACTTCTGACCCCAGACCCTTGCTGCACAGTTGGAAGTAAGCCAGGAGGGTGTGGGCAGGAGCAGATCATACTCAAGACTCCAAGCAAGGGGACCGCAAAAGTGTCCTCAGCCCTCCTGCATTTTGACTGGTCATGGGGTCATGGGACCTCTCCCACCTGATTCTTTATCTCTCTCCATCTCTCTGTCTCTCCGTCTCTCTCACACCCACCCTTCCCTTGAGGCAACTCTCCAAATTTTCCTTTTCCCTCCAGTACCCTTCAAGAAGTTTCATTTAAATCTGATTCCAAATAAAATGATATTAAGATACAAAGGAGTCAGATTGGCAAAAACCGATAAAAACACAGTTCTACTGAAGAGGGTGGGGTGGGGGCTGGGGGTGGGAGCCCCGGATAGTCTTACACAATTGATGGACCCCCAGGTAAAGATAATTGTATTTGTAGTTGGCAATGCATATCAGAAGTTTTAAAAATATTATCCTTTTGTTATGAATCCCACCCCTAGCTATTCATCTTAAAAAAATAATAAAATGCACAGGTTGGTTATGACAGGTAAAATGTAAAAAGAACTGAAATGTCTGAAAATATGATTGGTTAGGT